CTGGATTCTTTCTAGCATGGTCAAAGTGTGACTGCAAATTTGGGTCATACTGAGCTAGAAGTTGAAGAACAGACAAAAAGTTTCCTACATTTTTGTCTCCTGTGGCATCAAGTTTCTCAATATGTCCACGCAATGCCAAGTTTTGAGTGGCCAAGAATTTTATACAATTTAGTATTCGCTTCAAAACATCTCGCCATCGTGCAACCTCTGACTGAATTTCAGCTTCAAGAGATACATCGATTGTTTTCCCTTGAACCAATCTGCACTCTGCTTCTATCCATGCATTAAATGATTTCCGGTGGAAAGGATTGTTCTCGTGAGCCGCTAGTTTCTCTGGCTTCCTCCACTTGCTGAATCCATTAGATAATTCAAAAGATGATTTATTATTTGCACTCGATGAGGGAAATAACAAGCAGCAAAAACAATACACTGCTTCATTCAATGGTGAATAAACTAGCCAGACCCGATTCACCTCATCTCCCTTTCCATTGGCAAGTCTCCGCTTGAACCATGGCTTCGTCATAGAACGGCCGTCTTTCTTAGCAAATGGACCATTATTATTTTGAAATACATTAGAGCCTCGAGATACCATTTCTGTGCAGAGCTGTTGAGAAATTATAGGCAATTGTGACGTTTGGTCGAAATCCAAATAGCCAACATCCCCAAACATAAGCACAGCTGGAATTGGATTTGGTCTATGAGAAATGATATCATTTTCTTCTTCTACTTCAGAGTTAGATGAAGTTGATAAACTGCTACTGTTCTCTATGTTTTGCTGATTCTGCTGTACACTTGGTTGATGATTGAATTCATCAACATCAGTATCCTGAGGCTGTTGGCTTTCTTCTGGTGTTGACTTTGCCTTCTTCAAAAAACAATCCAGGAGTTTGCTGGACTTACTAGCTTCTCTTGTTTCATTTGCCTTCATTAGTTAAACTAATAGTTATAAACTTTTTTCAAAAAGTAGTTAACTAAACTAAAAAAAAAGTAGTTAAACTTTTTCCAACTATTTTGCAACTATTTTTATATTTACTTTTTTACAGACATAATCTAAAGTGGCAATAATACTAACATAACAAACTATTCAAAACATGTCTTTTCAAAGTGAAGTATTAAGCTGCATTTCAAAAATGCGCTAAAAATAAAATCATTAACTAACATAACTTGTCATCATAAAATTTAGGCCAAATAAATTATTTAGTGTTTAAAACCAACTTAATTGAATATAGACAATTACATAAATGTATTTATTAAAATATTTTTAACAAAACAGCAACAAATTTTAAAGATTAAACAACTAACCAACCATCAGCGTCAACCTTCAACACAGAGAGGAAACAAGACATCAAACAGTCCGAAACATTGGTAAAAACCAAAAACATTGAATGTACTTTGCTTTAAAAATATGGAAAGCTTAACTTTTTACAAATTAAAATTAATATTCAAAAACCATAAGTCAAGACATGGATAAAAGATATTTATCTAAAATATTTTAGTTAAACTATTTAGTTAGCAACTAAAATATTTTAGTTAAACTATCGTTTTAACTAAACTATTTTTTTTTAGTTAAACTAGGAAGGAAACTAAAAAAAAGTAGTTAAACTATTAGTTTGCAACTATTTAATTAAACTATGCCCATCACTGGTAATAGCAGGTATTTGTAGGCAGCTATACTGACTAACCCAATGCAGCTATACTACAAAGGTACTATACTATAGACTATAGAGCATAATCTATACAAGCTTTTAACTGCACTGTGACTGACCTGTTCTAAAGGACAGACACAGAAATTGCTAGGTAAAGCAAAATAATAATAAAAAACCTTTTTGGTCACTGATATTTTGGTCACTGATATTGTGCCCCCCAGCCCTGCGCCCGGGGACAACTGTCCCCCTCTGCCCTCCCCTCGTTACGCCACTGCGTGTGGTTTGTGTATTTGTGTAGTAGCTTTGTGTTATTGCGCTGATGAAGATGCTTTAATTTTAATTGAATTTTTGTTTGTTGATTGTTAACAACTTAAAGATTTTCAAAAAGTTGGATAAGTCAATTGAAATTTTACTCTAACTTATGAACTCATGCAACTTGTCACACGAAAATTCAAACACATATTCACACGAACATTCAAACACATACACAACACACACACACACACACACACACACACACACACACACACACACACACACACACACACACACACAGACACACACATACACACGCACGCACACACAACACACACACACAAAGACATATCAAACATTTTAAAATAAGCATACAACGCGCGGCACACATCGGTTGATTTACATGCATGCGCTGCTGTATAATGTTTCTGTAACACATTTAATCTATTCATCTGCTTCCAAGTATTCCTCTGTGTTGTAGGGTTTTATGAAGTCGTTTGTGGCTGTGTGTGGCTTGTAGGTTTTTGTATCGTTGTGACTGTGAGTTAAGATCGTTTTCTTGACGCGTTCCCAACGTTTCGTGATGTTATTATTTTTCAGACGTGGCCCAATTTATATGAATTTTATATGTTGATAAAAAAATAAATGACAGTATTAAAAGTAAAAAAGATGATATTCATTTCGATTTTGCATAATAGCGTACCGCGAAACACGGATTATTTTTTTTCATGAAATAATTATTTGGGATCATCGTTACATGGAATAAATTTATAATGGGATAATTTTCATATGGAATATATTTGGTTTGGGATAATTATCACATGTGATAATGTTATCACAAGGTATACGAGCGATGTAGAGGGTAAGAAAAGAAGAGGTCGTCCCAAAATGATTTGGACTGACAACATCAAAATAAAAAACACAAACATCGCAGAAACCGGGAAAATGACAAAAGATAGAAAAAGATTAAGGAGATTAAGGGCTGGCAGACAGCAGATGATAATGAATGATATTTTACAAATATGTTGCTTGTAATACGTTGCTTGCTTGTAAAAGGTCGCTTGAAAATATATCGATTTGGTTTAGCTATTTCAATGTCAATAAATAAAAGTAAATGATCAAACAAACAGCTAAATTTAATTGCTTCTAAGTAAATATTTAATTTTTTCTCGCCATTTTCACACACATACACCACACTCACACACGCACACCAAACACACAGAGAGACATATATATATATATATATATATATATATATATATATATATATATATATATATATTCGACAAGATATATATATATATCGACAATATATATATATATATATATATATATAATTATTTATGTGCATACATCTTACCACTTGAGAGTTAACAAATAATTGCCATTCAATTATCCTAATTTTTAATAGCCAGACCTTAATAATCAAGATGAAAAATAAAAACAATTTATGCGAAAACTTTGATATAACGTTTTATTGCATAAAGCATCAAGACACTTCGTCTGAAGATGAAAGTGAAGTAGGCATACATACTTTCAATTTAAAACATGGTAATTTCGTATTTTGGATAACTCATAAATCTGCTTACTATTGTAATAAAACTAAACCTATGCGACGATGAAGTTGATCATGTAGAAACTTGTAAAATTGAATGCTTCTGAGATGAGATGGCATGAGCAGGATAATTTATAAAAACTTTACTCTGCGTCGATTGATCAATATTAAATGCATCTGTGTGTTGTGGTGAATGATTAACATACATTTTTCATGGCTGATTTATGAATGTTGAGTGAAATAATGTTTGAACAAGTTTTGTTTAAACGGTCTCAATATATTACAAACAAGATGAATCAAGTTGAAATTTATTTGTAAGTTGACTCAAATTAACTTTTTTGCTCACAAACTACAATGGAATAGTCAGTGGCGGATCCAGGAAAGATGCCGAGTTGCATTTCTCAACCAGACCAGACTAAATTAAGAATGAAAAAAGTACTAAAGATTTTGTATATAACTTAGTAATAAAGTAAACGGAAATTAGAAAAAGGGTCATTAACTAAGTTTGAAAATCATGAAAATCACCAAAAGGGGAATAAATGGAAATTAGCCAAATAGGCCATCAACTCTAAAATTTATAAAATCATCCTACACTGAAAAATTTTGGATCCGAGAAAAAAACTTGCATCAGCCTCTGGGAGTAGTACGATGAAATTAAGCGTATGTTTGATAGAATTTGGCCATGAGAAGATGAGCGAACAATATTACGGATGAAAATAATGACAGATTTTTTATCACTGTAGAATATAAATAAATAAAAGTGAAAATATAAATAAATACAAGTTTTTATAAATAATTATCTATAATTATATTATAATTATATATTCAGTCATAATAAAGTTGTGAACTTTTCAGGTCATTCAAAATTATCCAACATCAACAATAATCAAATTTTGATACAAAAATAGTATAATTTGAATAAGTGTACATGACAAATTTTCAAAGCATGCCAGTGAAGTAATTAAAAAAAGAGATGGCAATCAGTCTCGATATCACAACCATTTTCAAGATGCTCTGATAAACAAATTTGTGAATAAATGGTTTGAAATGGAAATTGTAACACTCACTTATTGTATGAATATAATTTAAATTAATTTTTGCAGTATTAACAACATGATATGGTGCCATTAAAAATATAGGTCACAAGTAAAAACAAAGCTGTCGAAGTCTAAAAAAACATTTGCCTGCCATTCAATTCAAATTTTGTTACATCGTTAAAAAATAACCTAACTTTTGTTGTTTTCAACTTCAGCCGTCAAGATTTCCATCATCACCATCTTACATTCAATTCAAACCAGTTTTTTTTTACATAATTTTGCCAAACTTAACTGTTGTAAGGAAAGCCCAAAACAGAATACTCTAACTAAAACAAACATAATTTAACAAAAAATTTTGGTAAATGCGTCTGCAAGCTTTTCCTTGGCAACGCTTCTGAAACATTTTTGAAATTAATAAATGGTATGAATGTTTTACTTTTTTTATCTTTCGCAGCACAAATAACGTGGTATTATCACACATCACAAATAAATGCTGAGCTGTTGAAATTATGGAAATACTTGTCCACCGTCCCAATCAATTTTCGTTATATTATTAGAAAATAAAACAAATTTTTCATCCCAAAAATCCAACAATATACAATTTCTTTTAACGTCTTGAGCGTTTTTTAACTTGTTATTCTGTTTAGAAGCTGAGAAATGCAAACCTTTTTCTTGCCTGTCATTATTCAAACATTTGTGCTTTTTCTTAATTTGCAGATTTTTACTCGTAGCATTCAGTTTCACACTTTTGTTAACGTGTGATGGGGTGGTGTAAGAAAAATTTGTTGAAGCTTTGATAACAAAAATGTCAGGATTGCTGTAGACCGTAAATAGTTGTTCAACATAAGAAAAGTACAACATCCACATGGACCACATGTGGTGTGTTGTGTTCTTTTTTTCAAATGATTTATACCACGATGTTGGCCTGATTCCGGGGACGTATGGTTTGAAGCCATTTCTTTTCCAATGAGAAGCGAACCAGTTTTGAAATTGCCTCCATTTTGCTGGTTTTGGACTGAAGGCATGTGTGGAGAATACTCTGTGCATGAAGACTGATTCGTTCCCTGCCAACTTAATTTTCATCGGGTGTACGGGTGATAACAATCGAAGCGTACATCCCAAGTAATCTTCGTAAAATGAATACTTGGCATGAACGGCTTTTAACCATCGATAACCATATTTGGAGAGCTCTTGGTCGTCTTCAACAAACAGGACTATTTCGTCATCACGTTTTGGCTTGTAGGTGAGTAGCCACTGTTTGTATAATCCGGCATGCTTTTCCTGGACATGAACCGATGTGTAGTTGTTAGATGAAGCAAAACTTTTACTAACTTGTAATGTTTTATTGTCAACTGTGTTTTTCTTTTCATCTCTATCTATCCAGATATCGACATGCAACGAGTCTCCATCCATCTCTAAATCTTGTAAAGTGCTTAAAAGGAGTTTCAACGATTCAAATCGTTTGTATGTTAAAACTATAACTCTGAAATCTGGTTCATCATCATATTCGAATGGATCTTCATATGAAGAAGACGGTAGAACATAAAGAGATGACGATTGTGTTTGATTGCCGTACAGAGATGATGAAAATATTTGAAAGGACAGAAGTTGTGCTTGAGTTGAAAAATTTGGTGTCGAAGTTACGAAACCTCTTGGAGGTGTGGCTGGACGAATGATGCAATTTTTGTTGAAATGTTCATGGATTGTTAGGAGGAACGCGCAGACAACAACCAAGTATAATAATTTCAATTTTAACTTTTTACTAGTATCCATCAGTTTATAAAGCATGTTTGAGATAACAATCAAATATTTCCAAAAAATTTTAACTTTTAAATTACGTTTTTAAATACTGAAACTTTATATGGTGTTAATGAAATAAAAAACATTCTTTCTTACGAATCCAAATAAATTAAACACATTCAAATTTTGGATTGAATCAATAAGTTTATTCACCAGTAATAATTTTTATCAACTTAGTAATATGTAAAATTTGAATATTGAAATGAATTTGCTGTAAAAACCAACAAAATTCAACAAATCAAAATTAACTCAACAAGTCAGGAATTTAAACGATAAATTAATATATACACCAGCTCCTTTTAAAAAAATTTAACCAATTGAAAGTAATTCAAGTTTTCAAATTTTTTTAAAATATAAAAAAATTAAAAAAGCCTTTAGTTTTTGTGTTTTGTTTTAACGAGCATTGAAAAATCCATAAATATAAATGTATATATATATATATATTTGTTGGTAATAGACCATAATTTTTACAATATTCTATAAATTCTACCGAATGTTTGGCGTTAATATGTTTGTAGCTCGATTTTTCTCACTAAAGTTTTTTGGTGAACGTTTAGTTTATTAATATTCAAAATAAACTTATTTTTCGAATTCATGCTGCAAATAAGGCCATATTTCGATTCCGAATGAATCATCATCAGTGCTCCTTGCTGTATATATAGGGAAATATTGTCTTTGTCAAGATGAACTTTGACGTTGTAAAAATTAACTTTGGTGTTGTAAAATTGAACTTTGTTGCGAATTAGGTGTCAGGTCTCTTTATTGGCTGGTCATCTTCCTTGGTCTCCTTTTCTTCATCGATAGCATCATATTCTTCTTTGTCACTATTTACGATTCTAGTTTTTATTACTTCTTTGTTTTCGTTGTTGGTTAAGCGCCGGGTTGGATGTGAGGTTGTCATTTTTTGTTGTATATTTATTTTTGGTTTAAGATTTGTTTAAGGTACCAAGAAGTTGGGTGATTTGTTTAGGATCGTTATAGGAGACAAAGATATCATCCACGTATCTGGTATAGATATTTGGTTTTAGATTTGCATTGTTTTTGAATGTTTTATTCTCTAGCTGTCCTA